GTGTTACTGCAGTGCTGAGAATGATCCACCACCCAAATAGTACCTGCTCTGTGAGGGTCCATGGGGGTCCTGACCACTGAAGAACAGGGTAACAAAGTATGCAGAGAAACAGATGGACTACAGTCTGTAACTGTAGAACTACAAAGTGCTCCTTTATGGTTCCATAACTTGTTAGCTACATTAGCCTCATAGCTCCAGTGGAAATCTAAAGTAGCAAACCTGGCTGAGAACTTACACTCAGGGTCAGAGAGGAAACTGTAACTCTGATTCACCAAAGTGTTCCTGTGATTTAATGTTAAAGCCATTTGAGACTTAAGTAGCTTGTGGTCAGCAGATGGGAAATCATCACTTTTAGTACAGATTTATTGAATAATCTCTGCTGAGCTACAGCAGGGGGTGAAAACTGAAACTGAGTTGTGCAGATGAAGCGTGAAGGTGGGGCACTACAAGTGCGAGGTGCTGCTTTAGCGGAAGCACACTGGCAAAGGAGTGAGTGAACCAGCTTGATGAATCTACAAACAGGAAGTGTGATGATGGGTGTGGACGCCACACCGAGAAAAGCGCAGCGCACCAGCCCTGACCACGCTGCATTCCTCATATCAGTGAATTTGCCCTGCAGACAGATTTTTATGATAAAGTGAATGTTAGGGTGGTCTGAAGCAACAGTTTGATAGCAATCAATAATCAAATTCACACAATTTTTTGAAGCGAACAAGCAATGCAGGTTTGTACGTCACCAAGTAGCTGCTGTCAGAACAAAATCTGGTATCTCTAAAATGGAAACTTTACAGGAGAAGGAAGAGACATATTTCAATTTTAATGTAAGTCAATGGAACCAGACTTCTTCTCCAAGTCATTTTGGGCTGTTTCTTTTGGTCCATTCATCATGAGATTTACACCTTACTATATAGGTGCACTTTGTAGTTCTACAGTTACAGACTGTAGTCCATCTGTTTCTCTGATACTTTGTTAGCCCCCTTTTACCCTGTTCTTCAGTGGTCAGGTTCAGTGTTAGTGTGTGTTGTGCTGGTACAAGTGGATCAGACACAGCAGTGCTGCTGGAGTTTTTAAACACTGTATCCACTCACTGTCCACTCTATTAGACACTCCTACCTTGTCGGTTCACCTTGTAGATGTAAAGTCAGAGACGATAGCTCATCTGCTGCTGCACAGTTTGTGTTGGTCATCCTCCAGTCCTTCATCAGTGGTCACAGGACGCTGCCCACAGGACGCTGTTGGCTGGATATTTTTGGTTGGTGGACTATTCTCAGTCCAGCAGTGACACTGAGGTGCTTAAAAACTCCAGCAGCACTGCTGTGTCTGATCCAATCAGACCAGCACAACACACACTAACACACCACCACCACATCAGAGTTACTGCAGTGCTGAGAATGATCCACCACCCAAATAGTACCTGCTCTGTGAGGGTCCATGGGGGTCCTGACCACTGAAGAACAGGGTAAAAGGGGGCTAACAAAGTATCAGAGAAACAGATGGACTACAGTCTGTAACTGTAGAACTACAAAGTGCTCCTTTATGGTTCCATAACTTGTTAGCTACATTAGCCTCATAGCTCCAGTGGAAATCTAAAGTAGCAAACCTGGCTGAGAACTTACACTCAGGGTCAGAGAGGAAACTGTAACTCTGATTCACCAAAGTGTTCCTGTGATTTAATGTTAAAGCCATTTGAGACTTAAGTAGCTTGTGGTCAGCAGATGGGAAATCATCACTTTTAGTACAGATTTATTGAATAATCTCTGCTGAGCTACAGCAGGGGGTGAAAACTGAAACTGAGTTGTGCAGATGAAGCGTGAAGGTGGGGCACTACAAGTGCGAGGTGCTGCTTTAGCGGAAGCACACTGGCAAAGGAGTGAGTGAACCAGCTTGATGAATCTACAAACAGGAAGTGTGATGATGGGTGTGGACGCCACACCGAGAAAAGCGCAGCGCACCAGCCCTGACCACGCTGCATTCCTCATATCAGTGAATTTGCCCTGCAGACAGATTTTTATGATAAAGTGAATGTTAGGGTGGTCTGAAGCAACAGTTTGATAGCAATCAATAATCAAATTCACACAATTTTTTGAAGCGAACAAGCAATGCAGGTTTGTACGTCACCAAGTAGCTGCTGTCAGAACAAAATCTGGTATCTCTAAAATGGAAACTTTACAGGAGAAGGAAAAGACATATTTCAATTTTAATGTAAGTCAATGGAACCAGACTTTTTCTCCAAGTCATTTTGGGCCGTTTCTTTTGGTCCATTCATCATGAGATTTACACCTTACTATATAGGTGCACTTTGTAGTTCTACAGTTACAGACTGTAGTCCATCTGTTTCTCTGATACTTTGTTAGCCCCCTTTTACCCTGTTCTTCAGTGGTCAGGACCCCCATGGACCCTCACAGAGCAGGTACTATTTGGGTGGTGGATCATTCTCAGCACTGCAGTAACTCTGATGTGGTGGTGGTGTGTTAGTGTGTGTTGTGCTGGTCTGATTGGATCAGACACAGCAGTGCTGCTGGAGTTTTTAAGCACCTCAGTGTCACTGCTGGACTGAGAATAGTCCACCAACCAAAAATATCCAGCCAACAGCGTCCTGTGGGCAGCGTCCTGTGACCACTGATGAAGGACTGGAGGATGACCAACACAAACTGTGCAGCAGCAGATGAGCTATCGTCTCTGACTTTACATCTACAAGGTGAACCGACAAGGTAGGAGTGTCTAATAGAGTGGACAGTGAGTGGACACAGTGTTTAAAAACTCCAGCAGCACTGCTGTGTCTGATCCACTTGTACCAGCACAACACACACTAACACTGAACCTGACCACTGAAGAACAGGGTAAAAGGGGGCTAACAAAGTATCAGAGAAACAGATGGACTACAGTCTGTAACTGTAGAACCACAAAGTGCACCTATATAGTAAGTGGAGCTGATAAAATGGACAATGAGCGTAGAAACAAGGACATAATGTTATGCCTGATTGGTGTAAAGAGCAACAGGTATTTCCAAATTATGTCAAAAACTGAAAATGGAGATGGAGAAGGGTTGGTGAATGGGGCCCAATGTGTGGCTAAAAACAGAAGCAGCCTCTCGATGTCTGAATGTTTATAGATAACAGTGAGTCATTCAGTGAGAAACCACATAATCAACTCTATTAAAGATCACTGAACAACTCCACACACTTTGAGACGAGTGAGAAGATTGATGGTAATTAATGAGCTGTAAAATGTCATCGCCTGTCAGCGACATTAACCTCATAGCTCCAGTGCAAAACCAAAGAAGCGAACTTCAGAACACATCCTGGCTGACTGGCTGACTGACTACATTCAAGGTGAAAGAAAAACTGAAACTTTCCGCTGATCAATCACTTTAAAACCGCCTACATGGATGAGGCGGCCGTCACGTACGGAGTGACAGTTGTGTCAGACGAGGTGAGGCTTCAGGGCAGGAATCACAATGTTGCTCTGACCCTCTAAATTTACCCGTGAACAACTGTTGCGGACGCCACAATTGCCAGAGCAGGACAGGAATAGCCGGGGCCGGCGGCCTGTCATTCAGACGCTATTTCCAGCCTTTTTGCGCCGTTTCATTTCCGTCTGTCAGACAGAGCCTGAGGGAGAGTCGCTGCAGTAATCCTGATATCATATCACACGTCACATGTTTCCCCTCTGTGTTAGTGAGATCAGAGAGGCAGAGGTGATGGTGGTGGTAGCCACAGTGGCAGGGTGTGTGGGACAATAGACCAGGCTGGGTCTGGGGCAACAACAAAGCTGGGTTTAGTGAAGCAAAAGTGAGGCTGAGTCCAGGGCAATGGTGAGGTTTGGGGCAGCAGCCAAGCTACTGTTTAGGGCCATAGTGAGGCAACAGCAATGCTGGGACGGGGGCAAAAATGAAGCAACAGAGAAGCTTGATGGGGGGCAACAGTGAGGCTGGATTTGGGACAGTAATGGGGCAACAGTGAGACTGGATTTGGGGCAATAGTAGGGCAGCAGTGAGGCTGGCATTGGGACAGTTATAGGGCAATAGCAAGAGGAGTTTGGGGCAAAGTGGGGCAACAGTGAGGCTCAGTTTGAGGCAATCATGAAGAAACAGTGAGGCTGTGGTTGAGGCAAAAGTGGGGCTGGCTTTGGGGCAATAATGGGGCAACAGGGGGCTTGCGTTGGGGTAATAACGAAGCAACATCACAACATGAGTTTGAGGCAATAGTGGGGCAACCGTGAGTCTGTGTTTTGGGCAATAATGAAGCAACAGTGAGTCTGGAGTAAAAGCCAAGCTGAATCTGTGGCAATACTGGGGCAACAGCGAGGCTGACTCGGAGGCAACAAAGGGGCAGCAGCCTAGAAAAGTTTGGGATAATAATTGGGCAACAGCTAAGCTGAATCTGGGGCAGTAGTGGGGCAGTAAAGGGGGCAAAAGAAAGGCTGGTCTGGGACAATAGGAGGGCTGGGTCTCGGGCTCTATTAGGGGAACAGTGGGGCAGTATGTGGGGCACAATGTGGAAAAACAGCAGCTCAGTAAACGGTAACGTGTCACCAGTGAAACTGCACCCTAAATTCAGTAAACTCAGCAGAACAACCACAGCAGCCTACTGGCCTCCCTGAGGAGTGGAAACACTGTGACTCTGTCCAGCTTAGTCAGACACAATGAGTCACCCGCGTGCTTCAGTAGCCAGTTTTAATATGCTTTACAAACATAACCAACAAAATTAAACTGCAGCAGCGCGTAAAAGTGGACCAGCCGCGATTACGCTTCGCTTTGGAAACACTGGACTCTGTTTAGTGAACTGACCGGGACAAAGAGCGGGACAAAAGGCTCGCTAGATGGAGCCCAACCCGGGCAGGAAAAGAAAGGAAAAAGGGCGGAGGATCAAACTCAGGCAACTCGGATCAAAGTCGATGGAAAAGTTGCGGGAGGGCTGGAGGCGCCTCCTCGCTTCCCGGCCACACAGCTGAGCTGCTGAGGGGCTCTGAACGGAGGAGGAGCGCGCGGACTTACTCACCCTGACCAGGTTGCTGACCGCTGCTTGCACGGCGGCTACGGGAGCGCACAGGTCTGGGATCGCCTTCCCATCCACCTCCCCTTCTTCATGCATGATGACCAAGTGCGAGATCTGCTGGGCCACGGGCTCCAGAATGCTCTCTATCGTCTTCGTGTGGAAAACCGGCATGTTGGACAACCTAGACGAGCCGTTCGGTGGACAGAAACAAACCCTGCGCCCTCTGAGATCCCTCTGCGCGCGCTCTGTGTGGCTCCAGTTCCTGGAGGTTTCACTTGGAGAGCAAACAGCACCCCTCACCCCCCCCACAACCTTCCAGCCCCCTCTACACAGACTCACCGTGGGAAGCGCCCTCCTTCCTGCCCCTCACGGCCTCACAGCCAATCACAAACGGACTACAAAGCGGATGACTCGGCAGGATTGGCTGCTCAAAGCCCCTCCTCTCCGCCTCCCCTTGTTGTTTGGCCCCGCCCCATCTGCTTCAGTCGACTTTGCTAGAGACTCGAGTTCTTCCCAGATGACGTAACACCTTCTCTTGCCCTAAAAAGGAAAACTGCCTCTCGCCTTTCAGGGGTGAAGGAACCCAGCATGGGCTGCTCAACCTGGATGGCCCATCCTAAAGAGCCTGGACCCTCCGTCCAGCATTAATTCACTAATTTATTTATAACTTATTTATTCATTTGTTAATTTACATAGTTGTTCCTAATTGGAGACTTCTCTACACTTCCTACATCCGACTGCCTGCCCGGTTTGGATGCCAGTGAGCTGGAAACTGGTGGAAGTGATTACAGTACTTGTACAAGCCTGGTCAGCGGAGGAAAAAAAGACTGGACATATAATTAGCACTGACAGGAAATTCCAGTTTCATAACAACAACAACAACAGAACAACAGCAAGCACAGCAGGACTGTAGCTGTCAGTGAAAAATACAGTATATCGATAAATGGCATTATACACATATGTAGCACCGTGCAAGCCAGAAAAACGTTCTTAACTGTGTGTAAGTGGGTTTTTACCAGTAAACACATTATGAAAGATAGAATAAACACAAATAAATGCAAATACAGCCATATCTCCAGATCTCCTCCAAATAAGGAACGAAAACATTTGTAACATTCCTAACTTTGTTATGTATATATATATATATATATATACCCAGTGCAAATAAATGAATGGGCCTCCCAAAACAAAATCACACACAATGAATAAAAACTAATGCAATTTGCTTGTTTGTTCACTACTGATATATCTCAAATAAGCTGATGCCCTCCAGCCACGCCACTACACCAACCAGCATCAATGCCAGCCTAAATGTTTATCGCTGCTGTCAGAAGAAAACCTTGTATCTCAGTTTTTGTTATTTTTCAGTTTTTGACATATTTTGAAAATACCCGTTAGTCTTTACTTTTTTATGCAAATTTTGTGATGAATGGGCCAAAAGAAACAGACCAAAATGACTTGGAAAGACGTCTGGTTCCATTGACTTACATTATAAGTAAAGCAGGTTTTTTCCTTCTTCTGTAAAGTTACCCTTTTGGAGATAAGTAGTATATACACAAATTTACATATACATATATAAATATATACACACAGACAGACACACACACACATACATATATATATATATACATACATATAGTCAAGTCAAGTCAAGTCAAATTTATTTATATAGCGCCTTTTACAACAGATGTTGTCACAAAGCAGCTTTACAGAGAATCCGGGTCCGCGCCCCCAGTGAGCAAGCCTTGGCGACAGTGGCAAGGAAAAACTCCCTCAACAGGAGGAAGAAACCTCGAGAGGAACCAGACTCAAAAGGGGAACCCATCCTCCTCTGGTCGACACCGGATAACAGCACAGACACAAAACAGTATAAGTGGATACAGTTTAACACCACTGTGCAGTGCACTGGCCGCATCAGATCCCCTGGGACGGGATTGAGTGGTGTATATATATATATATATATATATATATATATATATATATATATATATATATATATATATATATATGTAATACATAGAATATGTAAAATACTATTCTAGACCATTGCTTTGGCAGAGGCCACATTTTATGCTTATTTTTTTTTTTCCAACATGTTAAATTCAGTTAATAAACAGTGATTGTGGATTAAAACATGGAAGAAGTGTGTTCTCTGTAGAGGATGTGTAACTTAATTTCACTTAGAAAATGTAATTTTACAATAAACTAAATTAAAGATTTTTTCCTTCTACTGTAGAGTTACTACCCAGAAGGATAAGCGGTTTAGATGATGTGTGTGTGTGTAGAGTTATTGTTTCAGAGATGACAGTGATGATATATGACTGCAGTTACTAAAACCCTTATCTAAACAATTTAGCATGCGTAATAACCCGGCCCGTGCAGTCGTGCAGGCCCACTGTCGGAGTGTGAGAGCGCTGCTGTGATGTTGTGGATGTTTTAGAGTAAGTAGGCCCAAAATAAGAGTCTGCAGCAGCTCAGAAAATACCACACATTCCAGCCTGTACTGACAAAGTGCAATAACAATATCAGAGTGTTTCAAAGTCTCTGCCAGCCCAACCAGCTCAGGAATTCCCACCGTTTCCCCAGAGAGGCCCTCAGACGGCACCGCATGGCCTAATATGGAAGAGTGCAAAACACAGGAATTGAGGAAGTGGCTGTAGTTGAGCAGCGGAGTAAACAGACAGATAGACTGATGCACAGCTCCCATCATCTACCACCTCTCTGCTCGTCCATCACTACTGCCCTGCACTGCTCAGCTCCATCTCAGGCAGTGGAGAGTCTGGGAGCTGAAGGAACCCAGGACCATAAATGAAATCGCCTCCCAGTACAAACTCACTCACAATGAATGAAAACTTCTAATCTGATTTGCTTGTTTGTTCGCTATTATTATAGCTCAACCAAGCTGATGCTCTGCAGCATCTACCGCTAACCTAAATGTTTATATTACACTACGTATTTATGAATTTACAGTTATGATTCATAAATATGTCATGTTGCAGGTTATGAAGGATCAGTTTGACAACAGTGACTGTGGATGAGCTCCATTATGAATATAACAGAGAGATGAATAGACGTCAGGCCTGTTTGTGTAATGTTAAAGGGGAACTCCACCAATTTTGCAAAATTTCTGCATAATTAAATGGTTAAGATGTAAACAGAGTCATTCAGAGTGGTTTGGTGTGAAACGCTCTGTTCTAGAGAAACTTACCGAATCAGAACTGTTCACAGTGGTGGTGATAGGAACCAGACGTCCACCTCTAAAAGCTCCCTCAAAGAGAGTTATTACATTAAACATGAATATGCCTGATGTCTGAGACACTGTTTTTCAGTAGTTTTGAGACATGATTTAGGCCTAAACCTCCATTCATAGTGGAGTAATAAGCAAAATGGTCTTCAAAGAACTTACTATTTCAGATTTTCCACTATTTTCCATCATCAACATTCCATATAAACTCAGAAGACTCGTGTAGGTTCACTGGTGGTCATGGATAGTAAATGAAATGGCTATGTTTGTTGTCACGGCAATTCCTGGTTCTTATCACCACCACTGCAAGGAAATCTGAACTATCTCACACCAAAACACTCTGGTGGTTTTCAGGTCAACCACTGAATTTCGCAGAAATGTAAAAAAATCAGTGTGATTCCCCTTTAAGAAGCTGGATCTTTCTTTGAGTTATGGTTGTACTGTTGTCCCAGTGTCTTTATGAGGGGCCTAATAAAGACTTCTGTCATTATATCACTGGACCCAAGTTTTTCAGGCCCAGCACTCACGCTGCCCAGAGCGACGATCTCAGTGACATACAGTTCCGTTACACTCACATGAAGAGGTGTTGCAGCACTGCCACATCGCTCTCTCACTCCGTCCAGGAGGAAGTGGTTCGACACCAGTGCGTTTACGCATCGCGCTTACAAAACATCTGCTTCCTCAATCTGCACATTTCTAATGAATTTCTGTTGAATGTGACTTTGTGTTTAAGGGCGCTATTTAATACGCCCTCAACCTGATCTCACTGCAACATGACTGACCTCTGATTAAAAGGGGAATTCCACTGATTTTACTAAATCTGTGAATAGGTAAATGACTGAAATATACAGTAATGTAACGGCTAAAGCGACCCAGTACAAAAAAAAGAATGGGCCTCCCAAAACAAATACACATACGATGAATAAAAACTTCTAATGTAATCTGCTTGTTTATACACCGACCAGCATGTAAAGACAGCCTAAATTTTTATATTAGACTATCTGTCTATGATTTTACAGTCATGATCAATAAATACACTGATCAGGCATAACATTCTGACCACCTCCTTGTTTCTACGCTCATTGTCCATTTTATCAGCTCCACTTACTATATAGGTGCACTATGTAGTTCTACAGTTACAGACTGTAGTCCATCTGTTTCTCTGATACTTTGTTAGCCCCCTTTTACCCTGTTCTTCAGTGGTCAGGACCCCCATGGACCCTCACAGAGCAGGTACTATTTGGGTGGTGGATCATTCTCAGCACTGCAGTAACACTGACGTGGTGGTGGTGTGTTAGTGTGTGTTGTGCTGGTGCGAGTGGATCAGACACAGCAGTGCTGCTGGAGTTTTTAAACACTGTGTCCACTCACTGTCCACTCTATTAGACACTCCTACCTTGTCAGTCCACCTTGTCAGAGACGATAGTCAGAGTCAGAGACGATAGCTCATCTGCTGCTGCATAGTTTGTATTGGTCATCCTCCAGTCCTTCATCAGTGGTCACAGGACACTGCCCACAGGACGCTGTTGGCTGGATATTTTTGGTTGGTGGACTATTCTCAGTCCAGCAGTGACACTGAGGTGTTTAAAAACTCCAGCAGCACTGCTGTGTCTGATAAAATGGACAATGAGCGTAGAAACAAGGAGGTGGTCATAATGGTTTGCCTGATCCGAGTATATCATGCTGCAGGTTGTGAAGGATCAGTCTGACAACAGTGACTGTGGATGAGCTCCATTAGAATACAATATAGTGAGATGAATAGACCTCAGGCCTGTCTGTGCAATGTTGAAGGGGAACTCCACCAATTTTGCAAAATTTTCTGCATAATTAAATGGCTAAAAAGTAAACAGAGTCGTTCAGAGTGGTTTGGTGTGAAACGCTCTGTTCTAGATAAACTTACCGAGTCAGAACTGTTCACAGTGGTGGTGATAGGAACCAGACGTCCACCTCTAAAACGAGATCCAGGGTGGCGCCACTGATGGCAGCCTTGGTTTTGAGCCTTGTCTTTGTTTTTGTTTG